GCATCCGCCCATGCCCCCGCCGGATGGCGAATTACTTTAGCCAAACTGGGTCTCAGCACCAAATATCAGTTGAACAGGTAATTGCAATTGTTGCTTGACGGGGCGGGGGAGGGGAAGGGGGCCATAAACCATGACTTAAGAAAGTAACTGCTCCCGGAACAACAAGACACCCATTGCTAGCTTCCCCGGCCCTGGTGCAAGATTCAGCCACGTCCACCTGAACATCGTAGATTCTCTGCCTCTGCCTAGTGGCTGCTCTTATCTCTTTCCTTGCGTGGATCGCTTCATCCAGTGGCCGGAAGCTATCACTCTGCCCAATGTTGAGGCTTCTACGGAGGTTAAGGCTTTCCACAGTCTTTGACTTGCCATCATTGGCGCTCCCTCCAACATCACCCCCGATCGCGGTGCCCAATTGGAGTCTCACTTTTTGCAGTCTCTTCTCGCCTTTTTGGGCGGTACACGCATCCGCACTACAGCCATTTTTGGCTGTTAATGGGACGTTCGAGCGGTTTCACTGCTAACTGAAGGTCTTCCCACGTTCCGCGGCTGATCCGGAGAACTCGACGGAACATCTTCCACTGGTCCTGTCGAGCATCCCCTCCTTCCTCAAGTTGGACATTGACTGCTCCACCACTGACCTGATCTTCGGCACCACTGTCTGACTTCCCGGTGAGATTATCTCACCATCCCCTCAAGATGTGGTTGAAGATCCTACCAACTCCGTGCATCGTCTCCGTAAGTTGGGGCGGACGCTGTCTCCGGTTCCACCCAGGCTCTCCGTCTCCGATTCTTACCTCAAGAAAGGTTTAGTGACATGCTCTCATGCCCTTCTGGGATGCGATCGAGTTTGCCGGCCCGTGGAACCACTCTTCGACGGGTTGTCTCTCGGGGAACGAAAACCTTATGAATCCAACGTGTAACTCACGAGGGGATCGTGAGCGTAGACCGCCTCGAAGCTGCTGTCCCGGACACTTTGCAGCAGTGATGATGCTCGCATACACGGGCACACACATACTGGTGGGACCGGCAATAGCAACAGCTACGATGTACACAGGTACACACACACATATAAGGGACTGCCGCCGCCAGTTTACCGCTCCGTATCCTTCCAGGACTGTGTGAGCAGCAAAAATAGGTCAGCAACACCCGGTATTCCCAGCCGGTCGCCCATGCAAGTTCTAACCGGGCCCAACGTAGCCTAACTTCGGTGATCGGACGAGAACCGGTGCTTTCTATGTGGTATGGTCGCTGACCGGCCATCTAACAATTAGCGCACAAGCGACCCACTATCCTCGGAACAGACGAACCATTAATTGTCATAGATATGCAGCAGCATTGCGACCACAACTTTTTGTGTACGAACTATCCGTTTCTGTCACTCCTACTGTCGAAAGGGAATCCGAAAGAGCAGGAGAACGTCAGGGGAGTTGGCTAATGTGGACCATCTTGTGCGACTGGAGGATCCTAGGGTAGTCGGTAAGCTAGCTGTAGAGGAAACCCGGGAACTTTGCCTGGACTGGACGAAATGGAGGATTTTCACATAGATGAAGTATCTTTTCCCCGGCAATCTGCTTGCTTGCTCCGGGATCCTTCGGGTTCAGTTAGTCATTAGCTGTCC